AGTTGGTGATGATTTCTTAACACTCCCCCTCAGTACCAACTTTATTTTCTCTTTCAATCATTCCAAGCGCTTCTCGAAATCTTATAAACTTCATGTTGTCTAGGCTCTTTGTGAATATGTCCGCTACTTGCTCTTTTGTCTTGATTTGCTTCATTTCAATTTCACCTTGAAGCACATTTTCTCGAAGAAAATGATGGTGTACTTCCACATGCTTCATCCAAGCGTGAAATACGGGATTTTTCGTCAAACGAATAGCTGACAAGTTGTCACAATATAGTGGTACGATATCTTTTGATGGATGATGCAAGTCTTTCATGAGTTGCTTTAGCCATGTGCTCTCTTGTGCTGCCATCGTTCCTGCTCGATATTCTGCTTCCGTAGTTGAAAGTGAAACAGTTGGTTGTCTTTTGCTGTACCATGATATTGGCTGATCCAAGATTGAAAACATATTTAGTGGTTGATCTTCGAGTATCATGGTCACCAGCATAATCCGTATCACGTACAATATCCGATTATCTTGCAAGAAGCTCATTTCATATCGAATAGTCGATAGTCAATAGTTCCTTTCACATACCTTTATATCTTTCTGATTGTTTCCAAATGAGGCTTCTTTGGTTTCTGCATGAATCTACTAATGACTCCAACTGCGAAGGCAATATCTGGTCTGGTCAATGTTAAATAGATAAGACTACCGACATGTTGACGATACATTGTCTCTTGCTCCAAGTCATTGCCTTCATGGGAACATAGTTTTAAGTTAGGCTCCATCGGTGTAGAAGATGTCTTGCAACCCATCATTCCATATTTTGGGAGTAGATCTCTCGCGTACTTTTGTTGTTCAAGGAATAATCCATCCTTTGTTTTTTCAACCTCAAGCAATGAAGTGTTTTAGTTCGCCCAACTCCTTAATTTGAAATCGCACCATCAAATTTCTTTTACTTTGATGGATCTCATCAAAGTCGTCTCATATGATGATTAAATCATCTACATAGACTAATATGATAGCTAACCTTCCTTCACAAGCTTTTACGAATAAGCTTGAATCTTCTGGTGCTACTTAATAGCCACTTTGGATCAAGAACTCGGCAATTTTTTCATACCATGCCTGGGGGCTTGCTTCAACCCATACAATGCTTTCTTCAATTTGCACACATAACCAAGATGGACTCTATTCACAAAACCTTGTGGCTGATCCATGAATATTTCGCGATCCAATTCTCCATGAAGAAAAGCATTCCTTACATCCATCTGCCACAGTGTCCAAGACTTACTAGTTGCCAGAGCTAGTAACACACGAACAATAGCAATTTTTGCCACGGGACTAAATGTCTCGTCATAGTCAAGACCATACTCTTGTGAGAATCCCTTGGCCTCTAGTCGTGCTTTAAACCGCTCGATAGATCCATCAGGACGTGTTTTCAGCTTATATACCCACTTACATGATATGGGTTTAACATCCATAGGTTTAGCCACTAACTCCCAAGTTTGGTTTAGCTTTAAAGCTGAAATCTCCTCTTCCATTGCCTTTCTCCATTCACTACTCTTCGAAGGTGGTAGGTTCCTTGACCTTGTCAACCTCAGCCAGTGCCGCATTTATATACTTACATGCAACTCTCTCGTATTTCTTACTCACTTGTTGTTTGCTCTCTTGCTTACTTTCTTACTTGATTTCTTTCTTGGTTGCTTACAACTCAAATGAACCACCTCTATTTATAGGTGGTGATGGAAGAATCTAGCTAAGGGTTTTGCTACTATATTCTAGAATGTTTTTCAAACTACCTATTTCTAGAACTACCTTTTCTAGAACATCTCTAGACTTTTCTCCCTAAAATGCTCATTTTAGAGATCCTCCTTTACTTCTTTATGACTCTTGAATATTCTAGATTCTTCTTTAAAATGTCTTGGATATTAATTAAGTTGTTGATGATTTCTTAACATCTCATTCTATGATTGCATCCCCATTATAGTTACCCTCTTCCCTCGCTCATACATTGTTTTACTGTTATACGTATATATTAATAAAGAATTATTTTTTACACTATTAAAAAGATAATAGATAATGAAAATACAATAAGTGTAACAAATTAAGTATGTCAGAATCTATAAGTTAAATCTGAATTCACGCGGATTTGATAGCTCATGAATCGATCGAGAGGCTTAGCATTTGATGTACGTGTGCAAGAGTATACACAAACTGAAATTAGTGTATTGACTATTAAACAGAGATACTATTAATTAACACATTTTTATTATTTAATTGTGGCAAAGTAGGTAAATTTTTTCTTTTTGTGATATTGATAAAGGTGAGATTCAATTTCAGAAACTCTACCCGCTCTAATACTATGTTAATGTGTGCGACCTCTCATTTAAAAACTTAAGATATTAAAAAGAAAGCACACTTTATTATTTAATTATACTTTTAAAAATTAAACATGTTTTTCTCCGTAGATCTTGATACAGGTTGATGATTCGATGCAGTGAGATGTGACAAGACTTGGTTCCACTAACAAAAAGGCAATGGTCCTTTTGGCATAACAAATATGCTAAATAGATATGAGTAGTATATAGGGGGCCGCACTCCTACATAATCAACTTGGCACAAGAAACCAAATTAAAGAATCCGAAAGCACTAGCTCAACAAATATCATTCACATGTTACCTGACATAACGATAAATACCAATATTGTTTAAATTACTTGATGATTTTTGGACGATATTGTAAAATATTTTTGGACTATATTCTACAATTCGTACATTTTACCCTCCACATGTTCCAAGTCAAGATGCTTCTACTCTGACCTAATAACCGTACTTTCAATCTGTATCAATCTAAAGGCCTTTCGATCAGCAATTAATTATTATGTACTAGAAATATACACGTATATCAGAAATAATACTTAGTTAGGTTTCTGAGATAATTAAATATTCCACTGAGATTTAGTTTTGTAGCTCTTCACAAATTTATTTCTAGTTTTATGTATTTTTATAATAATTATTCCACCGAAATTTTCTTTTTTTTCTTTTTTTTTCTTTTTTTTTTACGGATCAGATTCCACCGAGATTTAGTTTTGTAGCTCTTCACAAATTTATTTCTAGTTTTATGTATTTTTATAATAGATCTTCATTTTTGCATATAAGAGATTTGAGTAGGTTATTTTCTTTCTATGTTCAATTTATAAGCAATCATACAAGATTATTTCCTCACTCTATGCCGAGCCTTTTTGAAGCAAGATATAAACGAGCTTATTCTTATGTAGAAAATGAGATGGATAATTCGAGTATTAAAATGATGGCTAATTTCTGATTTAGAAGTTCAAAAAGTTTTTGACAAGACTGTGAATCAATGATCTAAGTTTTCCAGCCATTGATCATCAGATGACCCATAAGATCTGGATGGGGATATGAGATGATATCCTATCATAAAAAAGTTATAAGGATTTTTCTTCTATCCTAAAAGTTAGAACCGAGTTATCATATCATAAAAAATTACAAGGTGCCAGTTACATCAATAGCTAATGCAGACCCCGGCCCCTACTAGTTGCTGTGTCGATTACTCGACCCATACTAATTACTACTACAATTTATACTACTGCATTTTGACATAATACTCCTTCCACTTTCTACTACATCGCGTCTAATTTACATGGTTCAAAATCTATTTTCTGCGCTTATTTCCTTGGATTTTTAACACATATAGTACCTAAGCTGAAATTATAGTAATTTTTAAAATTATTTTTCTCAAAGAAAACCGACATAGTACCTAGATTTTTAATTTTTATCATTTATTTACACAAAGCCTTTTTTTGTAGTGTAAATTGTAATTGGAAATATTTTATCAAAGTAGTATGACTGGGTTGAGTGGTAGAATTATCCCAAGCCATTGAAAATATGTTGGTTATATTCCAAGTAACTACATTTTTATGTATATTTCTAAAAAATGATCAGTTTTGACCCACTTTTTAGTTGCGTAATTAGCTTCCCTAAAGGAGTCAGGTGTGAATAACATCATCATTAGCTTGGATGAAGAATTAATCTGTTCAGTGTTGTGTCCTACCTACACAATGGTCTTCAGCTTATAATGATTTAGGATAGAAGACATGATTCATGAAGATAAAGTACTACATCACTTTTACAGAACATAAAAGTTAGCCAATAATGCAAACAAGCTTAGCCTATATCACTTCAGGTCAGTATAGGATATTAAACAAAAAAAATTAGATTTATACATGGAAAAATATAACTCCCCATCCTTGACTTATTAGAATGTCTAAATCCTTCGGGTAGCCCAGTTGTTTGAGCTTGAAACTTCCATGAGGTCTCAAGTTTGAAACTCTTTCCAGCGAAAGCAAGGAGTTTGCCTTTTGAATCGAGCTTGTCTAGTGAGGGCTACCTCTCCTATGTAATTTACGAGCTATTGAGTGTGATGTATTACCTGTGGGTTTCCCTTTGTCAATGTCTAAGCAGTATCAGGCCTTACATAAGCTGGATCAGCCAACCAAAGCCTAGCTAAGTGTAAAAGAAATACCAACTTTTTATTGGATTCTTAAGAAAAGGAATGAGATCATCAAGTTCTAGTGAATTTAATAGTACGGACATGAAGAGTAAAAATTTCTTTCGTCATCCCACCTATATATCACCAATAAACAATCCATTAATTTCATCTAATTACTATGGTTTATAACTTTCTTCTCTAATTAATTATTCCATTAGTCTTATCAATGTACAATAATATTCCACTACAAATGTTATACACCAAGAGACCATGAATAAATAACATCTCCTTGATATTAACTGATTCTCCTTCTTCACCATTTAATTTGTTCCACGTATATGTGGTTTCTAAATTGACGAATCACCCAATGATTCTTCAATTTGTAAGAATTTATATATTCCCCAACTGGCATACCCCATCCCTAATATAAATTCAACACATCCCTCAACAACTTCTCACTCACTCAGTACCAATTTACAATTCATAGTTTTCAAGCTTATACTTCAGTTTCATACACACATTTTTATAAAAAAAAAATGACATCAAATTCACTCACTGCTTGGACTACAATAGAAAACAAGAAATTCGAGCAGGCACTCGCGGTCTACGACAAGGACACATCTGATCGCTGGCAAAACATTGCTAGATACGTTGGTGGGAAATCAGTTGAAGAAGTTAAACATCACTATGCTATCCTTGTAGAGGATCTTAAGCACATTGAATCTGGTGACGTTCCATTCCCAAAATACAAGTCAGGTGGAAAGTCTCGTTAATCTATTACAGGTAACAATTAATTCTGGCTCAAACTTTTTGTACATATGATGCGCGATAAAAATATTTTTTGTATGCTTGGCCATGCACATTCCGTTCAACTTGTTATCCTGTCCATGAGATGTAATCCCTCTAGCTAGACTTTTTGGATAAACATTCTTAAGGTCCAATACTTTCTAAATACAGGTAAGAATTGAGAGACAGCTTCTTTTGTCTATACTTAAATTAGATACTCCGTACCCAACCATTATCTAACTCAATATTTTATTCCATACTTTGAAATCTTTAATATGTGATTCTGATACTACCATAAAGTTTGTCTTGACAATATGGAGTTTTTAGTGTCTTGTTTTGATTTTTTTTATTAAGTCATGTTAGTGGCACTGTTTATTTTAATGTATCAACCGTCAATTCATGAGATGCGTCAAACTTTTTTTTGGTTCTAAGTAATTGATTAAAGTTCCTCTTTGGGTACAGGAGTACGAGGTATAATACCCGTCAAAGTCAAAGATATGTGGACGAATTACATACGTGGAAAGACATATTTTTCTCTCAAGATTATGAATACACTAAGCTATTATTTTCTTCTTAGATCTAGTGAGATGTGTTAGTGTTATCATTGTATAACCCTGATATTATCGTTTCGAATTAATGAGCATAATATAATTTAGGGACGCTAAGTAAAGATATTGTGCTTGATGAAATGATGAATTTCATATTGTTGAGTTGCAGTACATTGTTAAAACAATTTAGGTAACCATAATGGATGTTTTTGAACGACATTCGTATGGTAGATGAAATGCGTACGAAATCCATGGACTCAAATTTAATGAACCCAACAATTATTGAACAAAGCTTGATACATATGTGAAAAACTATTAAGGGAATAGATCGAACCAAAAGTGAACCTCCAATGCACTGTTAAAATTAAAATTACCACGCTATGATTTACCGACTTTTGACCTAATTAAGGGAAGTTCGTTTGAATTGGCTTAAAAAAAATAGCGTCTAAAAATAAAAATTCAAACTTAAATAAATTTTAAATCAAAAAATAAAAATATAGGGGAGACCTACTTTTAGTTTTAAATTTTTTTAAAGTCATATTAAACTTATTTTAAATACTTTTTAACCTTGTCAAACACTTTCAAAAATAAAAATAACTTAAAAATAGATTTAATTAACTGTTAAATCAATTCAAACATACTCTCATTAGCCTAAAGAATAAATTAAGTCAAAGAGTTGTCTATCCATTCTCGCTTAATGACATCTGTTCGTTATTTCTTGAATTGCTCATTCGTTCGGCTAATAAGAGTAAAATATGTGACTATATCATCTAAAAGTTTAATTTTTGTGGAAAGTATGTGACCATCACCTCTGACTATGTTGATATCATAAATGTCGGTCTTGAACCTGATTCACGCCTTAATACTTAAATAAAAAAATAAAAATTGTCTAAATCTTATAAGTAGCCTACCGATCTCATGAACCAGAGAGTAATTTTTGGAAAAAAAAAAAGAAAAAGACCGTTGTCCACTGGTTGAGAGGTAAATTCGCATAAGATGAAAATAAATAAAATTCAACGGTAAAGACTCGGTCTTAGCCATTTTAATTACGTGGCAGTAAAACATAAGACCTCAATTCACATGCATCCACGTTGCTATTTTGGTTCTCTAAAGAATCGCTCTTTCCAACTTCCCAAGTTTATATATAACTTCCTCTTCCACTCTCAACTCTTTCATAATTCCCAAAAAAAAATAAAAAAATTGTTGATAACAATTCATAGTTTGAAAAGTAATCGAAACATTATTCTTAATAATAATTATTAATACATATATAAGTAAAAAAATAAAAATGGGTTTGAGGATGGCGTTGTTTATAGTGTTGTTTGCGGGTATGTTAAGTGTGAGTTGGTGTTGGGGAGAGGAAGCGACGGAGATTGCGAAGCAGAAAGCGAATATGGGTGCAGGAGACATAAATAATAAAGCCCAACAGGCAAAGCAAAGTGCGTCCGAAGCCATTGAAGATGCTAAAGACAAAACTGCTTCTTGGACTGATTGGGTCACTGCCAAATTCTCTCAGTAAGCAAATGCCTACTTACTTTTTTGAGTAGTTGATACATGTGTTCAAATTCATTTTATAAAAAAAATTGTGTTTTTGAGAAAAATCTTTAAATTGGATAAAGTCTTTGGTAAAAGGACGTTAATAAACACTTTCTAAAATTAGTAATCCATTTTTCAATACTTCCTCAATTTTAACTAATTTATTTATTTTCAATACTTCCTCCATTTCATATGAAAAGTTATAATTAAAGAGTTCGTAAAAGAAAAATAGAAATAATCGAAATTCTGCCTAATTACGATCTAAAAAAAGAAATAAATTGAAATGGAGTGAGTAAATAGAAATTGAAATTATTACTTGTACATTAAAAAAGAAATAAAAAAAGGACCAATGAACTGCGGTACGGCCAAGGCCTAATCCCTTTGCTGGTACTTTTCACCTTTGAGATTTTCATTTTAATTTAAAATTAATTTTTAAAATTGCCATAAAAATTAAGTATCATATTATCTTTATAAAAATAATTTTAATATAATTTTTTCATCGTTAATTTATATTGGAACGGATCGAACATTATGGATATATAATTGATTTTTCAACACTGATCAACATGATCCTTGATTTGCGTAGGTAATGTGTCTAGTGTAAACCTTTTGCAATGGTGAAATTAAAATAGGTAATTAATGGCCTTTTTCGTTGTATGACGAACATTTAGTTGTTGAAAATATCTGTTTTGTTTAAGAGATCTAAAATTATTGAAACGAAGGAAGTTGATTAACAAGTTTTTAAAAGTTTCATTTTCCCTTTTTAATCAGACAAGTGTATGTGTTATACAATTAATCACATAACCTGTAAAGGAACAAATTAAACTCAAATATATGTGAAGCATTTCCAGGTGAAGGTTTGGAAAATTAATTTAAATTGGTTAGGCAATGTTTGTTACTTCTTGTTACGTGTTTGACCACTCTCATTTTCAGGTACCAAGATGATGCAAAAGACGAAGCCCAAAGATTAACAGATAGTACCAAGGAGACTGCATCAAATGCAAGAGATTCTGTTAATTCTGCTGCACATGGTACCTTTTCCTCTTTGGATTGACTTATTTTTAAGTTTTTTTTTTTTTTTGTTTGCCAAAAATCATTTTAATTTTTGGTAAAACAAAAAAGTGTTTGCACTTGTTTTTAAGTCGGAATAATACAAATAAGTCAAAGTTATTAACTTCGAATTTCTAACTTATGAGAACTATAAGCCCATCCAAACATGCTCTAAGAGAAACAAGAGACAACTTTTACGTTGAAAGAATTACTAATATTCAGATGTTCTTTGCAGAAACCCAAAGGTATGGTTCTCAAAAGGCTAAGGAGATGGCTGATGTAGCATCTGACAAATTTGGTGATGCTAAAAATTATGCGTCCAAGAAAGCCAATCAAGCTATGAATACCGCTAGTCATGCCAAAGAAAATGCGTATGCCTATGCATCGGAGAAAACCGGCCAAGCCACAAAAACAGCTAGCGAGTTTGCCAAAGAAAAGGCTCATGATGCTTATGCTTATGCATCTGATAAGGCAGGTCAAGCCACGAACATTGCTTCAGATACGGCGGCCGATACTAAAGAAAGTGCCAAACATAAGGCTTATGATGCTACCGATTTTGCCAAAGAGAAGGCACATGATGCTTATGCTTATGCTTCTAATAAGGCAGGTCAAGCAACTAACATTGCTTCTGACATGGCCGCTGATGCCAAAGAAAGCGTCAAACATAAAGCTTACAATGCCAAAGATTTCGCCTCTGATAAGGCGCATGATTCCGTGAATGCCGCTTCCGAAATGGGTAGTTCAGGTAATGAGAAGATTAGCAATAAAGCTAAGGATGCCTATGCTTATGCCACAGATAAAGCCAAAAAAATTGGTAAAGACAAAGCGTATGATGCTTATGGATTTGTATCTGAAAAGATGAACCGAGCAAGGGACGAGGCTTCTAATATTGCTGGTAATTCAAAAGACACAATGAAAGATAAAGCATCGGATGCCTATGACTTCGCCTCTAGTAAAGCCGATCACACCATAAGAATGGCTACGGATAGAGCCAATTATGCGAGAGTCAAAGCTTATGCTGGATATGAGGGTGCCAAATCAAAAGTGCATGAAACTTACAACTCTGCCAAGAACACGATGAATGAACAAGCAAAGGATAAATATGAAACGGCCAAAGAGAAGGCTTCGGACGCTGCAGGTCATGTTGGAGCAAAATTGAAAAGTGCAAGTGGCAGTGAATTATGATCAACCATAAGAATGGCTACGGACAGCCCCAGAAATCCTCAATTGAAGTAATTTTCTATCCGGTGAGTTGCTTAGATTTTACTATTATATTTTTCTTCTATTGTTACATTTTTTTTAAAGTTGGGACGGATGAAATTGATGAACTCAATTCTATATGGTCATAACTTGTGTTAAACTTTAATTTAATAAAGAAAATGACGACGCTTATTATGCATATTTTCTTTGGAACTTGTCACTACTTTCATTGACGATATAAAGCTATAGATTTTCAAATATTTTTTGGGTGAAATTTCATCATGTGTTTGACCATAGTATTTGAAAAACATATTTCATTTGTTTAGAAAAATATGATTTATACACATAAATTTTAAAAACTATCAAAGCTAATCATAAGCTTGTATTACAAGTCAATTGGATCTTCGTTGCAACAAATAACATGTAGTGTCCATGACATTGGAGCAATGTGGTAGTTTAGAGTGAGTGCAGAAAGTATCATTCCATACATCGTGAGGTAGACAAAGCACATGACTTTATTATCCTGAGTCAATTGTTCATCATTTTCATCAACAACTATATTATCACTTTCATATTCACTGAATATTTCATCACTACTTTGGTGTTCATGTAAAAAATTATGTAATACAATGCAAACAACTACTATAAAGGGTGTTTTCGTAAAAGATGAAAGTTTGATGTAAAATTTTAATTTTTGAAAGATCCCAAATAATGAGATTTGGCTCAAATTGTCAAAAATATTTGTCAAACAAATTTTATGGACAAATATTATTTGTTAATTTTTCTATGGCCAAACGGGTCCAAAATAGGTGCAAAAGTGATTGTACCAACTATTAAAAAATAAAATAATGTTACTATCGTTGAATTTGAGTAGTCATGTACGAGAATACCATTATTTCAAATTATGACTACTGGAGTGACAAGACCTATGCTTAAATATTGGGACATACCATTATATTGTGGGCTCCACAAGATAATTATACTGTTCCAAAATGTCACGTACGTTCAAAAATCAAAAGGACCACCAAAAATTGTGTTGACGGAATATGATTTTCTCACTAATATTTTTATCGAACCAGTTGAAAAATGCAGATTAAAAATAGATTCTTACTGTAATATTTTCAACACAAAATTTTTTGTATGAAAATATTAAGAGTATTAATTTTTTCTTTATTCATTGATTCAATCAAAATATACGTGCGAAGTATTTCACTTAGAAAAATAGTGACATTTTTGTAGTGAGTGTGTGCTTGCTCTCCATAGAATTTAATGGCTAAGATCTGAATGGGTCATACAAAAATCTTTTTTTCAATTTGGACGGTTCCAAACGTATAGTAGAACTAGTATATTTTGAGTTATAGTAATCATAAAAATCATTTGAGATTCGTTTAACTTTCCTCCTTCGGTATTGAGGTGCTTAAAGTTTTCATCTGCTTATGAAACACCATAGATAATACTGGATCTAAGCCTTATCTTCTTGATGCCCTATTGGATGATAAATTTAAATTTAACACTTGCAAATTCAGTCACAAAAATTGTGTTTCTTTTGCTTTTCAAGTTGGAAAAAGAAAATTCTAACCGTAACCTAATATGACACTGGATTTTTTTAAACTTGGAACTCCATGTTTGTTATTACTGTCACACTGCCGATAGGACACTTACTTTAGTAAAACAAAGTATTAATAAAGATAACAGTGATGGTATTTTATAGCAGTAATTCTTATCAACTTTTAAAAAAGACTAATTTTATAGAGAAGTTTCTTGTTGGAAACACTCTTCTTATTATAGGATAGTAATGTCTTGATTTTTGCATGACAATCACTATCGATCACATTTATGGAAACACCAAGTGCAACAATCCAAGAGTATCAAAACATATCAGTTATGCTTTATGTTTGTACAGGCGATATATTACAAGTTTCATCTATCTATAGTTTTATATCTATAGAAAGAGACTTATTTTGCAGAAATAGCAGATAGTATTAGTTCTACTGCTGCATCGATCACATTTACACCTTTACAAATCATCCAGGAGCTTAATTTTGCTAACACTAGAAGAGTACAAAACGTTGTAATAAGCATATTAATCTCATGTCACCTGGTTGGGCAACGATGGCTAATGGTGTTATGTTTGTCACATGTTTTGGCCCTAATTTTTGACCGAAGAGTTTCTGGGATGATATAGGGCCCTATACCGTACTAGTTCATTGTACTAATAATTAAGAGCATTATTAAGCCTATTGAACTTCTACTTTCTAATAAGATAATACTATGTAATTAAGCATACTACTAGTTTCTTCTATATTTATAGAGCATAAAATCATTGTACGAGTCTGTTAATTCTATTACCTACTAATTAGTTCAGTAGTTCAATTCCCGTTACTTTGCGTCTCAATTTTAGCAAGAACGGTGAAAGAGAGAGAATTGCATTTTTATGTTTAATTTTTTTTTTTGATAACCGAGAAATTTGTGTGTGATCCGCCCTTTGGACCAATCACAGCCTCTTTTTTATGTTTAATTTTGTCTTTGTTATTTCCACGATTGATACCCGACAACACAAAAACAAGGAAAAATACAAAACAAACTTAGCGATCGCAATCCAATGCACAGAAAGGGGAATTTGAGGAAACTTTTGTGATGACTACTAATTAGTACTAACCACATAAGGTCTTAAATTTGAAGGTGCTGAAATCTTGTGATCAAAGAATTAATTACTATTTGTCTAATAATAAACTCATCTTATCTATATCAGAATTATGCACAAATTGGGATTTTGTAGTCTTGCCTGTTTAAGTTTGTTTCTTCTTGGTTGCTTGTTTGCTGTTGTGCATCCACACTTTGAACACTTGTCTCTTCACACCCACTTCATTACAAAACTGATGCACTTCTTGTTCATCTTGTTTCTGAATTCTCCATCCGAGTTTCTCAGCGAACTCTAGCATTCTATCTTTCTGTTGTTGACTGAATTTCGTTCGAAATCTCTTCTTCGACGCCGAAAAATTACAAGGCTGAATTATCCCTTGTCCTCCGTGAAACATATTCAGATCTTCACTTGATGATTCAGCTGCAACTCCCGTGTTCCCACCGAAACTCATCATTACTGGTGCCATGTGACCTCTTGGATAGCTGTGTGAGTATTTATGATGGTGTTGTTGCTGCGTAGGCACAGCTGGAAGTGAAGGCGGAGTTTGGTTGGTTATACGGTGGTTATTTCTATGCACACCAGGTGTTTGTGATTCGTCCTCAGTCTCTTTCCTATGAAAATTGCGATGACAATCACAAGCTGCACATTTCAGGTATTCCGGTGTCTCTTCTTCTCCGCTTGGCATGAATTCTCCGCAACCGTCTCGTACATATCCTCCCATATTTGCAGCATGATTTTTGAGACATTCTTTGTACCGGACGGGGGTAATATTCCTCTCACTTGCTGAACTAGTAGATAGTTGTCGAACTGGATCTGGATCTGAATTTTGAGTAAGATTATGCTGATCTAGGGTTTGGTTAGGGCTAAAAATGGTATTTTCATGGATACTTTGTTCATTTGCTGTTCTATTTGGTATATTTGAAGCTATAGGAGCAGTAGCGAATTTGTTTGCTGCAGAGGAAGATGATTCTTGCTGGTTAAGTTGAGATGGGTTATAACTCATAGGATTGGGATTAGGCAAGCTCATATCCTTTTCTTGGCCTCTGTGTTCCATAAATCCTAATTTTGCTATCTGAAATGACTGTCTGATCTTAAACTTTCACCTTCTGGTAATCTATCCGAAGTTACAAAAAAAAATATCTTGTAGGTAACACAGTGATGTATCATAGTTGGAGGACTAATCAATTGAGTGTGATATTTTTAGTGCTAAATCCACTGTATGTACTATTAAAGAGGCTGATAAATGGACAAAGAATTGACCCAATGATCTTGGTGCTGAGCTAGCTAGTAGTAGGGAGTAATAATTTCAAGAAAATTGAGACAGACGGTCAACACGGGGTAAAACTAGACTTTGAAGGTCATTGGTTGTAAATTAAAGAAAATGAGGAGGATTTAGAGTAAGGGGTAGAAGAAAGAAAAATAATTGAATGAGAGAAGATTTTCTTGTGTCTCCTTAAGAGGCATCCAACCCAAGAAAGCACAAAAGAAAGAGAGTTTGGTAGGTAAAGTTAGAGTGATGAGGGAGTTGCCATAAGACATTGATGAAAGTAAGACTTACTCCACTAAACAACCGACAAGATCATGTTCGTCCTCTTCTGCAGCCTGCACACTGGTCCAACAATCTCATTATTAATACGCTTAACGCTTCCTTTCACTATGTCAGACAATACGGGAAAACGTGGAATATGAGAAGAAATTATAGATGGTGACATAAACTAAATATGGTCCCTCTAATACTCCTATGTAGTATAAATTCTTCACCAAAACACAAGATAACAATTGCATTTGGCTAACAGCCGTATTTTCAAGATAAGACAAAATAGTTAATTAATAATCAGAGGCAATTAGGCGGTGTTATTAGAAAGAGAAAGGGCATAGGAAGGGGGCCTTTTTGGTACTTTAAAGTGTGGAAAAATAAAGTGGGGGGGGGGGGGGGAGGGTATATTATGGTCCACGGTAAAGCAATTGCAGCAATTTGTGTCCTTTAGTGTGTGTGTCAGTGTTACACACACTCTTTTCTTTCTAAAACGACAAGGCAGTGCTCCAACCTTGTTATTAAGAGAATCTGTAAAGGAGATTTGCCTTTAGTTTTCTGATGATGATAACTGTTTCTATAAGCAAAATGGCATCTCTGCTCCCTGGTTTTCATTTCTGAAGTAATTAAATCACTTTGTTTTATTAAAGTGATCTTAGCTTTATCTTTTTACTTCCATGTTTTTAAGAGGCAGATAATTATTTTGATGGGGAGAGGGATCCAGTTCCCCATTTGGGGAGAGGTATAGTCAAAATTTCATTGTTTGGGACTTCGTGACAACCTAAAATGTGGGTCTCATGTAAAGACTTCCGTATTTGTACCCGTTGTATGAATGCCCGCGGAATTTAATTGGCGTGGGCTTGTCGAAAAAAATTAAATAAAGGAAGAGCTATATATATATATATATAATGTGTGATGATATTTTTAATGACATGGGTTTTTTTGGGGGAGTCGTGCTTGACTTAGTCAGCGTTTGATCATGGATATTGAGAGTAAATTTTGAAAGTTCATCTTCATTAGTCTGTTTGGTCATGAAATTTTATCGATTTTCAATTTACTTATAAGCTCCAATTCACAAAAACGTTAAAAAAAATTCAAGTAAATCATAATTTAGATTTTGAAAAGTACAATTTTTCAAGTTTCAACTTTAAAATTTATAACTGAATGGTAGCTTAGTATTAGAGGCGGAGGGCAGGTGTTCTATCTAGAATTGACTATTTTAGAAGTTTTAAGATAGAGAGGTTGATTGTTCTTCATGTCTCCCAATAGTTATATTATTTTGAGTTGGGATGATGTTTGCTATCACTGCTTCTTACGCAACATAACTATTTAAGTATTGCAAGTAAAATGTACACCAGAACTTTAAGATAAGAAAAATGAGGGAGAAAAGACATGTACGGAGTGTTTTTCTCCTTCAATTCTGACACTGTTTTGAGTCTGGTGGTCTGAATGACTAACAAAAATGAGAATGCTTCATCTGATTGCTTACAAATATAATTAAATCTAACGATAGTCATTGTGGTTAAAAAAAAAAAACAACTTTTGTCGTTGAAAATTTCCACTACCTTAAACTATATAATAATAAAAAAAAGAGTTGCTTAAACAGTAAATACTCTTTTAAAAATAATAATAAACGGACATATAGAAAGTTCAACTTATCATTATATTAGGCAATCAGCTTAGCTGTTATTTTGTTAGGAGCTGGAAAGAAGATACTCCTTCTTCTGTCTCTAATTACTTGTGTTCCTAATTACTTGTTCATTTTGACAAATCAAGAAAATATAATTTTTTTTGCCTATTATACCCTTAATTATATGACTAATTATTTTGAAAAATACAGAGTTTTTCATCAATTTCATAATTAATATGGGTAAAATAATAAACTTACTATATCATTAATTAATTTCTTAATAGGTGTGTCAATTCAAAAGTGGATACAGATATAGGGAGTAACACTGAACAACTTTTATGATCTTTGCTTTTGATTATGTGTCGGATAAGGATTTGGAAATTGTTCCTGGCCATCACTGCACCACCGTCCAATGAAAACTTAGGAACATGATAAATTATTACTCCTTCCATCTCATTTTATACTCGCTAAGAAGTTTAAGAAAGAAAAAAAGACTTTTATAACTTGTGGTCCAAAATAAATGGTAGAAATTTATGTGGCTGTAAATCATTCATCAAGGATAAAATAGATATTTTATAGTTAAATTGTTAGTTAATATATAAATATGTCATTCTTTATAGGACTGAATAAAAAGGAAAGTAAGTCACATAAATGTAGGGCTGGGCATAAACACCGAAAAATCGAACCGAACTGAATCGAATTATTTCGGTATTTTGGTTTTGGTATTTCGGTATATATTTTTGTATTTTTCGATATTTCGATTCCGTTTTTGGTATGTAATTTTTGTATTATTCGGTTTTTTGGTTTACCGAAATATATTATATTATATTATAATATATATTAATATTAATTATTAATATTAAATAATAAATATTATAATTTAATAATTTATATTTTATAGGTAAATTAGGTCAAAGAGACAGAGCACTTTTCAAAGTTCAAACTTCTCTAATTTGCCGCAGCCCGCACGTCGTTCAGTTTCCACTTCTGGGCTCCAGCATCGACCAGTGACCGGCCGATCAGCAGCAGGCCAGCAGGCAGCACGCAACAGTCCAGCACGCAGCAGGCCAGAACTCAGCACCTCAGCGGTAGCACGCAGCAGCCGCCAGTCGACCAACACTCAGGCAGCACCACAAAAAGATGTACTACTAATTTAATTAATCTAAGAACCACTTATTTTTAGCCCATTAAGCTGAAAAATCAAATAAAAAAGTTATAAAATTTTAAATTTTAAAAATCCCACTAAGCAGGTCCTAAAAAAAATTGAATTGAAATAACATAAATCGAATCGAACCAAATTATTTTGATTCAGTGTTTAGTACGTGGGGTACAAGAATCGAAAACCGAAAAAATAAAATAAAAAAATTGAAATCGAACCAAATTACCGAGTGCCTAGCCCTAATAAATTGGGACAGATGAGTACTAGAATTACTGAAAATAGTAACAATAAAGAGTCCAAGATCAGTATTTGCACATTTTATTTTATTTTAAAATTGAGTAATTAAATAATCTTTAATCCATTAGTAGACTAGTTTAATCATTGATGATTGAAGTTGCTTATCACAAAAACCGGAAAGGTAAAAACCATTTGTTTAACTGATCTGCATAGACTAAGCTTTTCTTGATTGGTGGAACATGTGTTTGTTATTTAAATCTAATGTAGGATTAGGGTTTCAATTATTAAATTAAGAGATTAGGGGTTTTACTAATCATTAATTTAAGTACTACAACTGGTAGCTTCATATGGATACACGTGCCAAACCCTAACCTTATTATTTGTGACTTTTATGTGTAATACTCCTTCCTTCCGTCTCATTTTATGCGTCCTCTTTTTTGGTCCCAAAAAAAAATTCTCCCACTGTTTATTTTTAATTGTCATAGCTTATTTTTTTATAGTCAAATTATTAGAATTTTCACTATCATTTTACAATATATTTTTAATCATATTGATATGCAAAAAATTGTAATTTTTAGTATTTTTGTATAGTTTTTAAATATCTAATTTTTTATTTAAAATATCGAATTAATGTAATTTAATTTAACTTTAAAAATTAGTCAAATTTACTTTCGAAAAGTGCAACCTAACAATTAAAAGTGGACTGATGGAGTATTACGTTACTAACTTTAAAACTTTTTTTCACTTTTAATAATATGATTAATAACCACATGAGTATTTAAGAATTATTTTAGATCACAATTTTCAAAAACAATAAAAATTAAAAATATCATATCAAATCAAACACTCACACATAAATGAGAAGAATGAAGTAGTATTTTACTCATGTAGACGGTAGTTTCGTCCCCATTTCTTATTCTGTCAATCTTTCAGATAATTACTAAAATAGCGAAAATGAATTTAAAATGTACTGGAATTAGATTTATTGACAACTTTCGGGAAAAAAAAAATATTGGTCAATAACATTGTGATACATAAAATGTGTTTGAATAATTGTAATTATTGAGGAGATTTTTTTTAGTAATATTGGGAATTATGAGATCTTATATTTATATATTTATTTTGGGTCAAATCCACATTTAAATTCACAACACTATATTTTTATTTTGTTTGTCACTACCCACATCCTTTGTCACGTTTAGCCTATGGCCTATGGTAGACGGATCGTTTGGCTGTTCAGGAGTAAGAGTCAACAGGACATATCGCGTGGCATTTGCGATTTGATTTGAGATTTCTTTTTCTATATATTTTATAAACTCGTGGATTCACACAACTTCCACTAGTTGAGATGTTTAGGATAAAATTTTACTTTCTTAAATTTCATATCGAATTTATCTTTGTTGCGTAATTTGAAATTGATGGAGTAACATTTCCTAGTATTTTCTTACTTGTAAATTCATATACGATTAAATGTCTCTGTCGTAACATATCTGGTTTCAAGATTTTTTTGTCTGCAATTATCACGCTACAAGCCTACATCCTGGGTGAGACTGGCACTCGAGAACCACTGTTGGCCCCAAGCGAACCCTTGGTTTGGCTTACTTACTCAGCGGAAGAAGACTTAAACACAAGAAATAGTCTCAAAGGATAACTCATGCAAATATCTTTAAGGAATATTAAACTTAGCCAAAATGGCAACTCAAGTCTCAACCATTAAAACAGGAAATAGAAAACTCAAGAACTAACATCTGGCTGTCTATGAAGCCTCTAAAACAACTGAGATGGATGTCGGGATAAGACCCCCGATCATCCTCACAAATGAAACACTAAAAAGTAAATTATAACAAAAGAGCCCTTCGGAAAGCAAGAATGCTCACCAACTGACTTTGAATGCTCAACTGGATCAACGAGGCGCTGGATGATGATTCTGGTTACTTGTGTCTCCATCATAATAAGATGCAGGCCAAAAGACATCAGTACATTGAATGTACGAGTATGCGAGGGGAAATCTAAAACAAGACATAAGTTTGAAAGGAACTGAAGAACTTGCCTGACTCAACTCAACTCAACTTAACTGAACTCATTTCAATATAAAG